CACCCCCCACTCCCTCACTCCCCCTGCAGATCTTCCATGCAGCAGCCCAGCAATGACATCCACAGCCACAGCCACAGCCAGGTCAACAGCCAGGTCAACAGCCAGAGCCAGAGCCACGTCAGCGCCATGGCGGACGACTCGGCCAGCATCGCCAGCTCCGGCTACCAGCAGTACCTCCAGCACTTCCACCCGCACCTTTACACAGCCCCATTACCGCCACCGCCGCCTCCGCCTCCGGGGTCGGGGCTTCACGGGGGGCCCAGTGGGGGACCCGTATACGTGGTGGTGCAAAACACACAAAGGGCCTCCCTGGACTCACTCCACGCCGGCGGCAGCAGCCGCGGCGGCGGTGGAGATGCGGGAGGTGGTGGCGTGCCGCCGCTGCCGCCTGTAATGGTTGGGGGTAGCAAGCGCAGCAAGAAGGGCGGTCTGTTGGGACGCATCAAGCGAGCGGTAGGGGAGGTGGTGCGGCGTAGCGGCAATAGCAGCAGCAGCAGAGCCAGCCCCGCTGTCAGTGGCAGCCGTGCGTCCGCCTACAGGGATACCACCGGGGGAGGAGGGGGTGGGGGAGGAGGGGTTAGTGCGGCTGTGGGGACGGCGGCGGGTAGACGGAGCGCCCATGCTGCTGCGGGGGCACCAGGGGCGGCAGGAGGCGGAGGTGGAGGTGGAGGTGGAAGCGGAGGCGGGGTGGGGGGTCGGCAGCGAAGCGGCGGCTCGGTTGGGATGATGAGTTCCGTAAAGTCGTTGCTGACGCCGCGGCCGTCGTTCTAGGTTGGGGAGGGACGGACGGACGGGGAGAGAAAGGCGCGGTCAGAGGCGTTTCATTACTTGGGTGCCACCTCGGTGGTGGCGCTGCCAGCCGGGGGGGGGGAGCGCAGCGCCAGCAGAGGGCACTAGGACCCGCCCGGGAGCGGCTGCGGGAGCTGCGGGTGCGTATGTGAGGGGGGAGCGGACGAACTGGCGAAATGGGGCCCCGCGGGGCCATCGCGGCCCTGCCTGCCTGGCTGTTGTCCCGGTTAGCGGCTGGCTGTCCCGGCACCCCCTCCGCCCCCTCCTGCGTCCCCTTCTGCGTTTCCCCACCGTGACGCTGTGGTGGCGGTCTGTGACGCTGTGGTGGCGGTCTGTGGGGACTGCGTCACGACAGCCGCCGCATCACGTCTCCCGCTGCCCGGGTAGAGGGATCAGAGGTCAGGGGTGTAAGGGGGGGCCCCAATGGTGGCGGTGGTTGGTGTAGCGGTAGTGGTCGCTGTGTGCGTTATGTGTTATTACCCCGCCTAGCTTGTGACATGCCACCCTGGGGCCCCCGCTTTGCCCCCTTCGCCCATCCAGGTCAGTGTAGCCGGCCCGCGTGTGCGTTGTGTAGAAGGGGTGACGTCGCGTGCACGTGTGCGCACTTGTTTGCAGTCAGTCAGGTAGCCAGGCTAGCTGGCTGTGGCGCTGTTGTGTCCCTTTTAGCAGCGAGGTTGGGGAATCTGCCACCTCGCCGCCTCGTCGTAACGGCGGGCAGGCAGGAGAGGAGGGGTGATTGCAAGGACGGTTAAGGGGGGGAGAAACCAAGAAGAAGAGGAGGGGGGGGGAGGAGGAAGAGAATTACGATGCCATCTTGTAATGTAACTTTGTTACACGGGGGCTATGATGATGATGGCAATATTATTATTGTGGTCACTAATGTCGTGCAGCAGAGTGCAGTACAGTGCGGTACAGTGCGGTACAGAGTTGTTGGTGGGGCCCGCAGGACGTCGACGACTGGCTTTTGCAGGAGGTTGGGAAGGAAGTTGCTGGTGGCTGGGGGGTGCTGCTTCAAAGCTGGTGGATGTCAGGCCAGATCACTTCGGTGTGGTGCTGCTGCTGGGTGACTTTTTTTTTGCTGGTTTGCTTTTTTGTTTTCATGCGTGACAATGTTGGATTGGCGGGTGGATCGCAGGTGACGGTCATCAAGTTACGGATGTGAGGGTGTGTGTGTATGTGTGTGTGTGTGGGGGGGGATGGCTGCATGGATAAGGCGATGGTCGAGGACGGGGACCGCTCGCGTACCTCCGGTGATTTCGCAGTTGACACGACAATGCGTTAGTTAATGATACCTCACATCAGCCGCAGCCGTGATTTGCTTTTGCTGTTCGGAGGAGGGAGGGTTGCCAATGAAGACCGGGCGCTGCTGCAGCGGTGGTTGCCTTTTGACAGGATGTGATGCGTCGCGGTCCGAAGGCAAGATAGCTTACTTTAGGGGAGGGCATTCATATCGCTATGTGATCATGATGATGACAATGATGATGTGCTGCCAGGGTGCTTGCTATTTGTTCAGGGCGGATCTACGGGAACACAGCTTTTCCGTCCGACCGCAAGGTGGAGCAGCAGCAGCAGCAGCAGCAGCAAGTGGAGGGGTGCGCCCCGCCACGTTACGTGTGTAGCTGGGGTGCTGCTGGAGTCTCGCTGGTTTAGGATGTGCGCGAACGCGTCTCATGTGATTTCCCCGCAGTACTGCGTCCTAAATGGTAGGTGTGGGCGTGTGTGCACATTGCTGTGATGATGATGATGGTGGTGTGTGTGTGCTTGGTTGCACACGGTCTTGGTGGTGGTTTTGGTGATTCATGGTCAGCTCACCACAACACTAGAGCAATGAAAGGTTGGTACGCAGCGGTTAGTTAGTTAGTTATTAGCCGCGGTTTCGGAACTTGCGGAACTTACTTTTCATCCCCAGTAAGGAAACACTAATGCTTGTTGGCTGGTTGGCTGGCGAATTGACTTATTGCGCTCTGGTTCCTTCATGGCAGGTTATGTGCGTTTTATCTGTTTGCCTGTCTGTCTCTCTGTTTGTCCGTCTTTCTGTGCCGGATTTTCTCCGCTCTATCATCTGCCGGGGACAATGTGGTGATTTATGAAGGGTTGTGGAGAGAGGAATGCATGCAGTGCGGATTAACCATGCCCCCGGAGTGCAGGTGCTGGGGCATATGGATCGATAGCTGTGCTGGCGGGTGTGTGCGCAGTGGGGAGAAGCGCATCGGCATTGTGGCTCGGTTGGAGTCGGAGCTGTGTTGCTGTTGTTGTTGTTGTTGGGGATGCTGGCTTGACGTGGCAGGGTGGGCGGGGGAAAACCCCGGTAAGGTCATCATCGCCGCAGAAGAAGGAATATGAGCAGGAGCGACGACGGTGCACCACCGGTGCATTAGATTGTTATCCGTGTGTGTGTGTGTGTGTGTGTATGTGTGTGTGGCCCCGCTGGAGGTTGGGGCTTTTAGAGGGGGGAAATCTTGTCGCCATCGTTGCAGGCGGCGCTGACGTTTTAAAGATGCCTTTCGACCTTTTCTTACAGCGCAACGGCCTCGAACGTGCGGGGCTTTTTGCCCGTTAGGCAACTTCCCTCCTTCTCTCCCTCGTCCCGAGTATGTAGGTAGGTATGTAGGTAGGTAGGCAGATGGGTGGTAGGTATACGGTCCAGGGGGAGGAGGGAAAGGAGGAGAGGTGTATGTCTTGTGGGCTCCCACCCTCGACAAGAGGTAAAAGAGAGGGATGGTGACTGGCGGTTGCGGATGGGGAGTTGTGGATCCAACGGGAGGGCATCATCTCACTCGTACACGTTGCGTATGCGCATAACGACCAACGGCACGCATTACAATCGTTAGTCCTTCTCCGGGCCGCTAGAGGGGGCCGGTCCGGAGCAAGTTGATCTCCTTCGTGTCATTGGTCGGATAGCCCTGGGAGGTGATCACCCGCTTTTAAACTTCCCTCCCAGCGGGCCCCCCCCTTGTAACAGTTAGTAACATGGGTGCTGATATGGGTACATATACCCTCACATACAGCTACTCAGGCTTACCCACGGCTACGCCTGCCTGCCTTTTGCTTCTTGTCCCGCGACTTAATGGACTGAACTCGGTTTGCGGTACAAGGTGGCAAGCACGTGCGGCAACCAACCAACCAACCAAGGGGTCGACTTGCCGTCTCCAATAGTCCATTCGAAGTACGTTGGACTAGCAAAACAATATATTATCTTCCAGCCTTCATTTCATCCTCGAAGGGCTTGCGAACAGAACTGAAGGACCGAGATCTCAACGGTGCCCACGGCAGACACGGTGCTCGGCAGTGCAGACGCGTCTTGCTGCGTGCGACTGACAACGACGGTAATAACCCACGCTATGTACGGCACTTGTACGACACGTAAAGGCCAGTTTTACTTATCAAGAGTGGAGCGTTGTTCGACAATCCATGCACAGATGGATATAGTGGATTAGCGTAACAAGACAGTGCAAGCTGGCGAGCATGCTTTTTCGCTTGGTTTGAAGGAAGGTTAATCGCGAAATTAGGTTAATCGCGAAATTGCGCAAAGGTCAGCACGCTCATGTATTGTACAAGAGGGCACGCAGGCCGCGCTTGGAGAACCCAGCTCGGCACGTGCTGCGCTGTAGCTCCCCACGTAGCTTCAACAGCCCTGGCAGAACCCCAGACGACTAGTTTTCCCCCCGAACACTCCGCTCCTCCCGAGATCAAACAGCTGGCGCGACGGCTGAATCCGCCGGGCAGCACGACGCGCTGTAGTACAGGTGTACGGTACAAGTATCGCCCATGCAGAAGTCACGGAGCAGTTTTGGTTCGATGTCCAAACACACGCGAGCTCGTCCCACAGCTGACTGGCTCCGGACCTGGTCCACCGTCCACAAGGGGGGGAATTCCTTGATGAATGCTTCGGAAACAGCCAGCGTGTTGAGGACAGTGATGTTGCTACTGCTGCTGCTGCTGCCTGGCAGGGTGTTCCATGGGGGTACGGCAGCTGCTTGCCTGTCCCCCAGCGCTGTACGGAAGATTATGCTTTTGAGGGCTGATTTCGCGGTGTCACTGGCCCGGAATATGAGGCCGGTCAGTCGGTTGGCGTTGCAGGCCTGCCGGGTGGGAGGGGAGGGGAAGTGAGAGGGGAGGGGAGGGACATGGTGTGGAGGGTGAATGGGAAGCGGTGGGGTGCTGAGAACCCCTCTGCCGACAATGACTGCAACATGGGGTATCCGGGAGCCGCTCGGGACCCCCAGGTGCTGAGCTCGGCCTCAGGTTCGCCAAGCAGCAGCAGCAGTAGCAATAGAAGTAGCAATAGAAGTAACAGTAGCAGTAGCAGTACAATACCAGTAGCAGCGGCAGTAGCAGCAGCAACAGTAGCGACAGCAGCAGCAGTAGCAATAGCAATAGCAATAGCAATAGCAATAGCAGTAGCAGTAGCAGTAGCAGTAACAGTAGCAGTAGCAGTAGCAGTAGCAGTAGCAGTAGCAGTAGCAGTAGCAGTAGCAGTAGCAGTAGCAGTAGCAGTAGCAGTAGCAGTAGCAGTAGCAGTAGCAGTAGCAGCAGCAGTAGCAGCAGCAGTAGCAGGGATCTTGCCAACAGGGGCCCATGCGGTCGTGTCCTCCACGTTTGCAATCCCCTTCCCGCCTGCCCCTCTAGCTGAGTACTGTACCTCGTCCAAGTACTTCACCCGTACATTATCGAGTTCCCGTACACGAAATCTAAACTAATTGTACGCCGCTCGAGCTGACTCGGCGAGTTGCCGCACTCACATTGGGCGGGGTTGTGCTGCTGTTTGATGCCACCTCCAGCGCGAAGCAGGGAATAGATCGCCCCAGGGCTACTCCCTGAATGGAGATGTTGGACTCAATCTGCATTCGAACGGGAGAAGCGAAAGGAAGGAAGAAGGCAAGCCGAGGAAGATCGCGTCGAGGCAGGTGGCTGCTCAGGTGGGGGGGTACGTGCGGAGGTAGGTAGGTCCGCGCATCACTGGGTGCTGTCAGGGATTCCGCAAAGATGCCCCCAACATGACGTACATGCCATACCCGCGTACGACATCATAACAAGAGAGAAGAAGGAAAGAGGGGAGAGGGCAGGATTTAGGGCTAAGGGGGTGCTAAGGGGCAGGTGTGTTTCCCGCCAAGCATGTTGGGGAGGGGGGGGGGCACAGTGCGGTCCGGGTGGCCCCCCGGGCGGCCGGAGGGGACTCAGAGCTCCTCAGTCAGCTGGCTCCCTCCTGCCCCCCCCGCCTTCCCAAACCCTTCCCAAACCCTCCCACCTGCACTTCCCGACGCAGCCTCAGCGGTCCAACCGATGACGCGTTGGAGCCGTACACGCACGGCAGGGGGACCAGAGGCCGGGGAGGGGGCGACATCAACGATGGCGGCGGCTGCGCGAGACAGTTACCGAAATCCAGCCTTTCAATCTGCTGAGCACCAACCAACGGATTACCGCCGTACCACAGCCGTACGCTTTTGTAGTACGCCAGCTGGGTTCCGGCACGATCACATAGCGCTTTGAGGACTTGGGGCATGACACCGCTCAACACGTTTGCCAGTCTTGAAAACTCGTCGGTTGCGATGTCGGTGCAGAACATGACATCACTGGAAGTGCACATCCGCTGTGACCAGTCCACGGGCAGGTTGTTGCCGTTGGCGGCGTTTACGACGACGGACTGCAGCAGCTGCAGTAGGACCGTGTTGGAGACGGCCCCCCGGTTGCA